GCCGGTGCACTGTTAGTAAAAATTTTTATTATTGTCATCTCCTGAGAATTTATACAGAATTGGATATAAGGGGCACTCACAATATTATGTTACACGATCGGAGGGGGAGGGGGTGGGGGGGAGGGGGGTTGTGGTAGGTGATGTCCTATGACGACGGGGGTTGCTCAGATTGTGACGTCACCGCATTTTTTTTTTTTACTGGCGTTAAATTTTTTTTTATTTTTCCCTGAATATTGGTTTAAAAGTAAATTTTTTAAACAACAGATGGTGCAATCAATCTCATGATCTAGCCCGGTGGCCTGGCGTAGTGGTTAAGGCCGTTGCCTCACAACGGATAGGTTCCAGGTTCGATTCCTGGCCGGGGAGAATGGTGAGATCTAACCATTTTTAAAGTCTTGATCAATCGCCATATAGTCTCATCAGACTCGAAGCGATATAAAATAAGCATAAAAAAAAAAAAAAAAATCTCATGATCAAACTCGCTCAAGATAGTGCTGGGCAGGGATATATCATAAATCATAATTACCATATTCGTAAATCATAATTTTTTTTATTGGGGCATTTAAACCTTACGGTTTATTCTGCAGTAATGTTACAATGATTTTGTATGAATTTATACAAATGATAATTCCTTAGATACTCATAACGTTGAACAAGTGCAATACATAAGATTAGATTTAGGGGAGTTACAAGTGAATGATAGAAACGGTTAAATTTTGAAGCCGTTAATTGGTTAACATCACTCTTAGACTTTTAATTATTCAGGTTATCATAAATTTACAGATTCAAATTTTAACTATTTTATTAATCAATAATTTAGGGAAGATGCCGATTATTTGGTTAATAGATAATCTCTTTTAAGAAATTAGAAATGTTCGCTTGATGGAAAATTTACGGTTCTATATTATCAAATATTTAATTCATGATCAATCGGAAATTTGAAATATTAATATTATATTATTTTTGAATTTTGATGAGTATATTCAAAGATTTATCAATGTAAGTCGCAAATCGTTTTAATGAGGAATGAGGATATTCGAACCCCCGAATTTTTTCGGAAGTAAAAATTATGTTTTACTTTTCACTGAAAATTTTATAAAGTTTCCAAATTTTGAGCAGTAGAACGACGAGATTTCCCCAATTTAATTGAGTTTTCAATGAAAATGTCAGTTGAGTTGAGTTTTTGGAGAATATTTCCGAAAGTAAGGCAGATAGCGAAATTTTCGTAATTACATTTGTTATAGCACTCAGTCGGCTCTACAAAAAAGGTAATAACAATAATTTTGCTATCTTCCTTAGATTTCGAGATATTCCTTGAAAACTGGTCGTTAGTCAAAATTGACTTGTACCGTTTTGCCACTTTGCTACTGAATTATTCATTGGAATGTTTAGCCTTGTTTAAGATTGCCACAAACATAAAATTATACATTATTTAATTTATAATTCTTTCAATATTCAGTACGCAATGGGGCTGAGTTTTCAATCAATTGATAATTCAAGAATATACTTACCTGAATTGTCGTAATTTCTACTGATTTTCATGCAATAATTCAACGGAAATTTAGTACTCACTTGCATCATAAATAAAAACACAAATATTCAGTACAAATGACGTCAAACTTTGATTAACTAAAAATTGAAGGATGTATTTACCTGAATCATCAATGCCGTAATCCCTTGAATTATCAGCAGAACTATAATGTGCTAAAAATTTCCACGAAGTCTACTTTAAATTTCAGTCAAGAATTTTCAACTAGAGTGTGGAGATGAGTAGGTTCATAAAACGAATCCAAAGTCCAGATTAAGATTCGATTTTCCGTGTGAGAGTGATTGAGTGATTTTAGGTATTTGGATAAATTGAGGTAAATGTTGACGGGAATATTTCATGCAGAGGCATAGTGGAGACGGTCACCGCAATAGGCCACCACAATCAGTTGAAGTTACTCGAATATTTCGTGCCAATCGATCCCGAAAATGTTGAAGTAATTTAGTAAATTGACGAAACGTGTCGCTTCTAATTCGACAAGTTAGTTCTCACCTCGCCCTCTGGCCACTCAACTTCTGACAGGACCGGTCGCTCAATTATTTCTCTTATGCTTTTCTCATTTGAAGCTTAGAGTAATTGTATTAATTCAGTAGCGAAGTGGTAGAACGGTTTAAGTCGGCTTATCTCCCAGTTGAGTTTTTGGAGAATATTTCCGAATGTAAGGCAGATAGCGAAATTTTCGTAATTACATTTGTTGTAGCACTCAGTCGGCTCTACAAAAAAGGTTATAACAACAATTTTGCTATCTCCCTTAGATTTCGAGATATTCCTCGAAAACTGGTCGTTAGTCAAAATTGACTTGTACCGTTTTGCCACTTTGCTACTGAATTATTCATTGGAATGTTTAGCCTTGTTTAAGATTGCCACAAACATAAAATTATACATTATTTAATTTATAATTCTTTCAGGTCGTTGTGCATTAAATGCCTAATCGATTGCCATCATTGTCATTCCTCCAGCCGAAGTGAGAGAATATGAATTTTCAAAAAGAGACGGATTTGCGGCGGATTATTCCTTTGTCGACGAATAACTTCTTAACGAAGCGTCGGAGACAAAAATGTCATGAGCGTTTTCGTCTCTAAATAATCCTCAGAACTACCCTTACGATACGTCCGAAAATAATCGCTTTTGAAAACTCAAATAAATTAAATATTTCAATATTAAATGCTACCGAATTTACAATTCCCATCGCACTCCTAATTTTGAATTAACTAAAATCACCAAAACAAAAACATTGACGTGAAGTTTTTGTCATTTTCCATTAAGCTTCATGCCCAACCACAGAACAATCATATGCAAAATCCCAGTTATTCACTCATTTTCATCCCAAAGGAGGATTTGAGGCTTCAGGCAAATCCCCTGAATAATTTCTCAAAACGAATTATGCTGATTAACAATCACGAGGATAAATCCGATGATCGGGTATGTTAAATCAAACAAGTGAAAAATATGTTACAAAAAACGGATGTTATTATTATCATTATTATTTCTAATTATTCTTTACCACAAATACACACCACAGTTATCTATTTATGGATTCTCGCTTCACTGTTGTTAGTTCTGTGTTTTTTTTTTAAATCACACGTTCGAATCAAATACATTTCATTCACATCATTTCGATTATCATGAATGTTCCATGAGTCTCCATCATACGCAGTGCACTGATCAATCGAACAAAAAAAATTGTATATGAATCGTTCTATTTACATCGCTTGTGCCCGAAGAATATTTTCATTGACCAAGCAGTTTACAATTATTCAATCGCCCATTGAAACTCATTGACAACAATAAACAACGGAAAAAAAAACAAAATCACTAAATGATGAGATGGAGTGTTTACTGGATTGACTATTACTAGTCAAATGAAATTAATTTTTCGTTCTAGTCTAATAATGTTGTTCACATTTCCAATCGTGTTTTGTGTGTTGTGATGCACCTGTGAGAGGGCAGTCACTTCCTAGAGAACAATGAAAATTGGTGCGTTATGCCTCAAGTCTCTATTCAGTAACTTCTCGTAACTGTGAAATGAAGAAGTTGCAATAGATTGAAACTCAAGGGGGAGGAGATTATGAAATAATAAAAAAAATGAGTGAAGTTATAACTATCATTTACGTATTTTTATGTACATTCATAACGTTTCTTGCGGTTATGATTAATGTTTTTGTCATTAAATTAATTAATAAGGAATGCACTTGATACACAAAAAGTTACAAATAACTCGAGTTCAAAGGATGTGAACAACGATGAGCTTTGGCAAGGCTTATTACTATCGTAACTATTATTAATTTTTTTCTTCATTTTCACGCACGAAATACAGGGTAATATGTGGAAATGACATTTTTTTCTTCTCGTTTCAGAGTTTCTCCTCGCAGCATGACGAACAAAATACGAATGTTGATTATTAATTGCACTAAGTATTCGTATACAGCACAACTACAGACGCAAGGCTTTTTTTCCTTTCATTTCCATTTTTTTTCTCGATTGTTAGTCATTTTAGTACGTGTCCTCGGGTAGATATTCAATCGACACAGGACGTAAAAAAATATTGCTTAATTATACTAAAAATTTATACTGCCCTCAGCCTGCCATGCTGATGATTTTAGTACTCATTTTTTGTACTCAAAAATGAGAAAAAATCGAGTTTTAATTTTTTTCGCTGACGGTGTAGGTGTAAAATCTTTAAAGTAGTCCCTTACCATGATTTTTTATGAATTGACTGGAATTTTCCTTAGTACATGCTAATATAGTGGCGAAAAAAAATATGGGAGCTTTTTTGAAAATTCCAATCTTTCGATTTTTGATTTTTTTGCTACGAATTGACAAAATATTTTTGTATGAAGACAATAATATTTTGTATATTGTTGTATGAAGACAATAATATTTTGTATGAAGCAAACTGAAGGCCATGACACATCGATAAACTACAATTTTTATTATTTTTTTGATTATTCATTTTACAAAGCTGCCATGCCAATGGTGAACAAAATTTTAAAAATTGTAGTTCATTGGTGTTGCGTCTGAAAAAAAATAAAATAGAAAACTATTGGAATTCTTTAGAAACCCTATGGGGATGGTATTAGATATTTGATAGGAAAAAGGAGAAATTTCGACTTTTCTGTTTCAACTTTTCTCTCCAGATTTTCTCTATTAAAATTTTTGGACACCGATTTTTCAAGTTTTTTTCGTCATATTTTGTTTTGTTTTGTATTACAAGATCCGAGTGAAAAAAAATTGGAAAATCCCTGCCCGAGTATGCTTATAGGAAAAATTCCAATAGAATATTCATAAAGAAAAATCGAAATCTATTGACTTTTAAAAAACAAATACAATTTCCGGAGAATTCCAAGAGAATTGTCCAGCGAATTCGCTAAGTTTTTTACTGAATTTTTTCTCTACCAATTCTGAGAAAACAAATAAAAAAAATCGAAAAAATGAATATATATATTAATCAATAGTCAATATATTACTTGTGGAAACCAAAATTCAGGTCAATCCATCAAAAATCCTGGTAAGGTGACTATTTTAAAAGTATACCTGTACAGTCACACACCGTCATTGGGAAAAAAATTAAACTTGATTTTTTCTCATTTTTTGAGTACAAAAAATGAGTACCAAAGTCATTTGTATGCTAGACAACCCCCTGCAGCTGTCAAATTTCACCGGGGTCTCCCCTTAAGTTCCCAAAAAGTACTTATTCTCCTTTAGTGACTTTAGAACTGATCAAGAGGGGAGATTTGACGAGATTTATTTGACAGAGTAAAATATATATTCTTAACTTCCTCACTTTCACTCACAAAATAATCCACAAGCGTTGAAAAAAAGGGGTATGAAATCATTTCTATCAGTCATCATCTTCTCTCATTCAATCCCTCCACAGGGAGAAAAAAAATGAAACATCTACCTTGAAATACCAATACTTAAACATAATATAAAATTGAAATGATCAAAACGAATGGATATAATAATAATGAAACACTTGTAGGCAAAGATATCGACGTCAATCCTTAATATTTGAACTAGATCGCTCATCGTTGTTGTACTTTTTGTTATTATTTTCCTTTTATTCTTCACAACAAATTCAACAAAATGAAAAGGAAGAGCAATTGAGTAATTTTGACTTAATGTCCCTAGCGAATAGAAATAAATACTGAGTGAATTTTTTTCTAACGATCCAGTATCAATCATCGGAATCTATGCTCACAGAATACCAAACACTGTTTATTTCTTTTCGAAAAAAAAACTCGGGTAAACAATTGAAAACAGAAAGTAAAAAAGTAAGATGACAAAATAACGAACGGCGAATGAAGCGTTATCAATAATTTTTTTTGTTTATCCTTAAGTTTTATCTAATTAATGTTTCTCGTGTTTGTGTATCAAATCATTATCGTAGTAATTATTTGTTTGGGCATAGTGCCATTCCTCTGGTTTAATCGTTATTCCAAGTCTCAATAATAAGCACGCGTCATATTCAGATTCATCTTCACAAGTTGCATTGTTTCTCTTGTTTCTCGTTCAATTGTTGATGGGTTTTTTAATATATTTTTTTTCTCGCAGCATTAGCCGTCCTCTTTTGGCGGCGTAAACCATCCTGAAATTAAATTCCTGGCATAAGAATAGTCATGTTTGTTGAATTTTTCATACTCGCTCCGCTCGCCAATCCCCATATGACCCCCATAACCCTTATTTGAACCCTTACCGAGATCCTTGAGACCCTTATCCGTATCTTTATCTCATCCTTGCTACCCTTATTTAAAACGTTGAACTGACCCTTATTACCCTTATTTGGACCCTTAATCTGGCCCATATGGCCCTTATTTGGAACATTATTTCAACCCTCATAACCCTTAATCTCATACTTGTGACCCTTGTTCTGAACCTCACGACCCTTATTCTGACCTTTATTATGATCCTTATCCTGATCCACGCGACCCTTATTCTGATCCTCGTGAACCTTATTCTGACCTTCATGACCCTTATTCCGACCATTATGATTCGGACCCTCAAGACCCTTAATCGAGCCCTCGTGGCCCTTATCCTGACGCTCATGACCCTTATTCTGACCCTCGTGTCTTATTCTGGCCCTCATGACTTATTTTGACCCTTGTGACCCTTAACTTTAGAGTCTTAATTTCGAGTACCAAATTTTCATCCAAATTTTCATAAACATATCTAAAATTTTAAAGATTAAAATCTCAAAAAAATTCTGAACGCAAGTTGATATAAATGAAAATATTGTTGTTGAGTCCGTGCTTCAAATCATTATTTTCCCATAATTCATATATTTTTTCAGGTCTTGAACCCATCGTCGGCGTATTTAGGTGATTTATCAATTGTATTTGTATTGAATATTAGATTAGAAATATGTGAATTTTGCTCGCTAACTACATTGCCCTCACTAAATGGAGCTTATAAATGTCAATGATAACTGCAAACGTCATTTTCACCGTTGAAAAACCAACTCACCATTCTTTTCGTGTATTTGAACTAGAGATTTGAAGGATTGTTATGCACGCGCCAGACCCTTATTCTGAGCCTCGTGTCTTATTCTGGCCCTCATGACTTATTTTGGCCCTTGTGACCCTTAACTTTAGAGTCTTAATTTCGAGTACCAAATTTTCATCCAAATTTTCATAAACATCTAAAATTTTAAAGATTAAAATCTCAAAAAAATTCTGAACGCAAGTTAATATAAATGAAAATATTGTTGTTGAGTCCGTGCTTCAAATCATTATTTTCCCATAATTCATATATTTTTTCAGGTATTGAACCCATCGTCGGCGTATTTAGGTGATTTATCAATTGTATTTGTATTGAATATTAGATTAGAAATATGTGAATTTTGCTCGCTAACTACATTGCCCTCACTAAATGGAGCTTATAAATGTCAATGATAACTGCAAACGTCATTTTCACCGTTGAAAAACCAACTCACCATTCTTTTCGTGTATTTGAACTAGAGATTTGAAGGATTGTTGTGCACGCGCCAGACTGTACTGTCCCTGTCCCCCGCACACTTTGCCAGCTCCACTAGCGCCCTGAAACTGTATCCGGGCTTTTCCTTTAACTAATGTCGCTGAAATTTGCATTATAACAGCTTCAACAGTGTACGCTGAACTCCAGCCCTGTTTAGTGAGTAATTCCATACAGATAGCACCACCCACAAGAACATAGCCTCCGGATATTATTGGGTGAACGACACGTACGAACGGTGGCTCGAACGGATAAGTTTCCTGGAATTTTCGTTTAATCGTGAGAATTTTCACTGCTGGTTCAGATTGGTTTATTCTGTGCAAGCTACAATACCTTGAACATCATATTCAGGAGAATACTATCCTTTCCCTCTTTCTCTTTCAACAGAACGAGATCTTTGTGCAAGGGTGAATCAGGGTCTACACACATCAACCTGATATTCCACTCGTAGAGACTTTCATTCACCAGCTCTATACTGTACATGCCTAGAGAAAAAAAGGAAATGAGAATTAAAAAATCTACAACATGGGAATTAATATCTGGAATATTTATAACTGACAAATAATTAAATTGTTTTTTAATTTTTGCAAGGAGAGAACTTCATTTGAAATGATTTATGTTGTAAATTCATAAAATGTTGAACATGGAATAGCAGAGGAGTGAAAAGACATATGAAATGCTATTTTATTTCTTATTTTTGTAGAATGAAATACCAAGTATCTAGTCAATTTCAGTCTTAGAAACACGAATGAATGAAAACTGTTGAATAAAACGAAATGATACTTTAGAAATAATTATTAACAATTCTATTGCATCATAATCCGAATGGATTAAACCCCCAACTGACCTTTTTTGAAGCTGTCACTCCTGTATATATCCCGCAGTTCCTTCATAAGTCTATCAGTTGCTTGAACACTACCTGATACAGAGCCTCTCAAGTAATCTTGTCTCTGATTTTGTCTCAGCCTTTCTAATGTCGCTAGGTGTTCCAGATCCATATCATCAGCCTATAATTTCAATAAATTATAACAAAGAAGCGAACAGAATAATAGAATAACAGAATTGATTTATCATTCACCAAGACCTACCTTACTCTTCGCATTAGCCTCTCCCTCATCCATATCCAAATGTAAATCCTCCTCTGACTCACTGTCCTCATCCTCCTCAATCTCCTCAGTATCTTCGGCTTCCATTCCCTGCGCAACAACGTCATTAGTCCCTCCCAGACGCAGTGGGTCCAGGGCTGTTCTCAGTCTCTCAACGTCCGGTGGCTCTGGCAATGAGTGAAGCCGGCACAACTCTTTTAACAATATCCCTACTTGATTAATAACATGGTTGTCACGACCCGTTGTATTGCTCAATATTTGTACAGCATTTGTCACACTGGTCTCTTCGGATTCAGCAAACCATACGGGTGGTGTTGATGGATACGTCTCCTAGGGAATAATTCATTCATTGAATTTCAACGAAGAATAAGGAGAGGAAGGCAAAATGAGCCATTTTTAATGATCAATAACTCAAGATGAATGAAATTCAATTTTTTTCTCATTCTGAAGGTATTTTTTCGGACTTCAAAATGATGTGAGACTTTACTCAATATCTTAAACATTACTGACCCTTATATGACCCCCATGATCCTTATTCTGACCCTTAATCTGACCCTTGTGGCCCTTTTGTGACTTATGGCCGTTACTCCGACCCTTATGACCCTTATTTTGACCTTTAATTCATAGCCTTGGACTCTTAACTTCGACTCAACATGAATGAAATTCAACATTTTTTTCCATTCTGAAGGTATTTTTTCGGACTTTGAAATGATACGAGACTTAACTCAATATCTTAAACATTACTGACCCTTATATGACCCCCATGATCCTTATTCTGAGCCTTGTGACCCTTAATATGACCCTTGTGGCCATTATTTGGACCTTTAATCTGACCCTTGTGACCCCTAACTTGACCCTTGTGGCCCTTATTGTGACTTATAGCCCTTACTCCGACCCTCGTGACCCTTATTTTGACCCTTGTAATCCTTAATTCATAGCCTTGGAGTCTTAACTTCGACTCAACATGAATGAAATTCAACATGTTTTTCCATTCTGAAGGTATTTTTTCGGACTTCAAAATGATGCGAGACTTAACTCAATATCTTAAACATTACTGACCCTTATATGACCCCCATGATCCTTATTCTGAGCCTTGTGACCCTTAATCTGACCCTTGTGGCCCTTATTGTGACTCTTACGGCCCTTCCTCCGACCCTCATGACCCTTGTGACCCTTAATTCATAGCCTTGGAGTCTTAACTTCGACTAAAGATGAATGAAATTCAACAGTTTTTTCTTTCTGAAGGTATTTTTTCAGATTTGAAAATTATGAGACTTATCTCAATAGCGCCATTTAATCAGGAGACACTGATGTTTAAACATTCGACTTTTTTGTAATACCAGGGGGCTAGTATTACAATCCGCTCACCGACCCTCATGATCCTTATTCTGACCCTTGTGACTCTTAATCTTGTGACCTTTAATCTGACTCTTGTGACCCTCGCGACCCTTATGGCCCTTACTCTGACCCTTAATTTCACCCTCGTAACCCTTATGGCCCTTATTCTGACCCTCATGACCCTTGTAATCCTTAATTTTGGAATCTTAATTCCGATTCAAGATGAATGAACAAAATTTCGAATTCCTCAGTTAAGTATCGGAATAAATAAAATTAATCTGCCGATGAATTTTGATCGAAAGTTCAGCCAAGGTATTTCAGTATTTAGTCGGTATTCATGGCTGAATGGAAGCGCTCTACGACGAATTTCTAAACTTGTCTAACTGTGGAATAAATTTCTTCTGACCATTTATTTGGCTAACAGGGCTTAACACAACCGGCCCTTAGTGATGCTAATGTCAAAAATTAATAGTTTCCACTTGCTTATTCACGTGAATACAGTGAGACGGGCTTTCAATTATTCTTTTCGACTGAGTAAAGAAATGAGTAGATCGAAAACTACTGGAGAATAGAATAAATACTGAAATGAAAGGCAGAGAGAAATCCTAAAGTTTTCTATCGTAAAGAGGAGAAATTCTGTAAAAAAAACAAGAGCTTAGAGCCCACACATTTTCCATCTATTGATGACCACTTGCGAGGTGACCAGAGGGTATATGTATAGTGGAGGACCTTACCCTCCAAGACAATAGGGGAGGGTGGGGTAAAACGGACACTTTAGACTTTTTTAAAATTACTCATAACTCAGAAACAAATTTATCAATTGAGTTCAGTTTAAGCTCATCACAAAGGGAAAGAACTATTCTTTGCAGTGAAGGAAGAATTATTGAATTTTATCAACATTTCAACCCCTCATTAACAGTCCGTTTTACCCCAACCTCCCCTACGCATTGACCTGCTGTGAATCAAGTGGATGATTAAATGTTTCAATCAAATGTCCTATACATTTATTCAACTTTCAAAATATGAATTAGTAACGCTAAATTAAAAAATTGATAGTTTCTAACTACTTATTCACATGAATACAATGGCACTGGGTCTCAATTATTCTTTTCAAGCGAATCGAGTGAATAAAAAAATTAAAATAGGTCAAAAGCTACTGGAGAACAGAATAAATATTGAAATAAAAAACAGAGAGAAATCCTACAGTATTCTCAGAAAACAAGAATCTTAAAATCCACATGATTTCTTATTGATACTCCTTTGGTAAGCCTTACCCTCAAAACCGACACGCATTGACCTGCTCTGAACAGGTCCGTCAAGGGGGTGATTAAATATTTTAATCAAGTGCCTAATACATTTAATCAACTTCCAAAATATGAATTACTGAGGCAATATTATTGGATGTGGTAATTAATTTCAAAGGATGTTTTAGTGAAAACAGCTATTGTTCTTGACTAAAAACTAGGGGAGGTTGGGGTAAAATGGACACTTTTGACTTTTTTAAAAATGTTAATTATGCGTTGAAATGTTGATAAAATTTAATAATTCTTTTTTCACTGCAAAGAATAGTTCTTTCCCTTTGTGATGAGCTTAAACTGAGCTCAATTGATAAATTTGTTTCTGAGTTATGAGTAATTAAAACAAAAATCCAAAGTGTCCATTTTATCCCACTCTCCCCTAAATTTGTTTTTAATCAATATATCATCCATCGCTGTCTACAACTGTTCATCATACTTCTTGGCAACAGATAGATTTTAGGGTGAAAAAATTAAATATCCTTTGAAGAAATTAAATCCAAGAACCTCCAAAAATTAATTACCACAGCTAATAAAAAATTAACAGTTCCTAATCACCCATCCCCATAAATCCAACGAAACTAGCTCTCAATTATTCTTTTCGAGTAAATAAAAAAATGAAAATAGGTCAAAAACTACTGGAGAACAGAATAAACACTAAACTAAAAAGCCGAGAGAAACCCTGCAGCATCCTTTTAAAAAAAGGATCTTAAAGTCCACATGTTTTCCCTGTATTGATGACTCCTTGGTAGATGGCCAGAGGGTATATGTACAGTGAGGGCCTTACCCTCGAAAACGGTACGCATTGACCTGCTCTGAACCCCCTGCCCGCACACCCGACCACCCCCTGGCCCCCCGCCGCCCCCCCAACCCGTCCTTTCACTGTTTCCCCAAAATGAATTTCACCCATCGATTTTATTACCAAATTTGCCTCGAATCTGTGACGAAAGTCATTTCAACACTGAGAACCCGAGAACAGCTACACGTTATAATTACCGAGTGCAATTTAACTTCAGACAGAGTCCAATTGAAAATTGAAACAGCGAATGTTATTGTTTCTTTGTCCGATTGGGGCTCGTGATGAAAATAAAAATGTAAATTCGGTGAAATGGCAAATGGCGTTAACGTTAAACTTGTAATTAGTGAAGTAATTCAATTACTCACTGTGATATTTGCATGTATTTCGTATTTCATTCCATTTTTACCGACGAATCTACAACTAAGCTCGTCGACACTAGCAGACATTATCTGAAATCTCTCATGGCTCTTTGGGAAGACAGACTCAAGAGTTTTTATCTCCTGCTTGAGTGTATTCAAGCAAGCCATTTGGGTGTTAAACCAACAACTGTTAAAACTAGGTTTTATTATTAGTCAATTTCGGTGGGATATCGTGGTTTATTTGAATGTACAACAAAAAAAAAATAAATAAAATTTATGTATTTTTGTTCAAAACGGGATCCGAAAAGACACACATGCACGGTATTAGCCTTCCACTTTCCTGAAAATGGCGACGACGACTGAAGACACTTCGGTGATATTCGGGAATTTCCGATTATTTTTGGTGCCGGGGTTTTGCGATAGGTGACACCCCAGTGCTAACACCCCCCCCCCCCCCATTCGCGCCGCCGGAGAAGTTATTTCGAAGATCCGATCAATTAGCCCCTCATGTATAGATATTCCAAATTTTTATTTTTTTCCTCATTGAAGTAGTTTTGAAAAAAACTATTCAATCCACTCTTGAATTCAACTATTCTTTTTATTGTGAGCTAATAAAAAACATTTGCTAGTTAGTACTTTTTTTAAAATAAATTTTTGAAAATTCACCTCTGAAAAAAAAGGAGTTATCCCCTCTATTTCATTATTTCCAAAAAATTTTATCACCAATCGATAGCAAATTGTTTGAAAATTTTTGCGAGTTAAGAAAAAATCGTCAATCCTATTATTGTGTAAATTAACAATTCCAATTTCAACTGAGAACCAGAGTTTGTAACAGAGATGTCAGACAAGATATGAATGTTTTTTTTGGCTCAAATGAAAGAGCGGCTCGAAAAATGGCGTGCAGAAGTCTTTAAAGATGACAAATGTCTCTAAAGATGATGTCTGTCACTAGGGAAAATTATCGTTCAAGGCTAGAGACATGGGGTTTTTCTACTCGCGTGGTCGGCCAGTCCTCGCCTTCGGCTCGGGCACCAATTCCACGCGAAAAAAAAACCCATGGCACTTGCCCTGAAATATACCATTTTGTGACACCTGCCTGAAAAGTGCACTTTCCGAAACGGTTTAGGCTGCGTAAAGCATTCGTTTTCCACACGGCGTGCGTAAAATTCATGAACATGCGTAAGATGAATTTCGAGTGCATAAAGCGAAGGTTTACGCACGAGAATGAATGCGTCAAGTGAATTATCGTGCGTAAACCTTCGCTTTACGCACTCCAAATTCACTTTACGCACTCGTGCATAAAGATAACCACTTTACCCTCATTACTGTTCTGAACAGTGAACTCGGCAGGTATCACAAAATAGATATTTTCGTCATATAAGGCCGAATCAATTATTTTCATCACAAGGCCAAAATAGTATATGGTGTTACTAGTGCGTAAAGTTCCACTTTTTCACACGCACGTGGTACCTGGCGAATTCACTGTTCGGAACGATAGTGAGGGTAAAGTTTTCTTTGTACACGAGTGCGTAAAGATAACCACTTTACCCCCATTACTTTTATGAGCAGTGAACTCGGCAGGTATCACAAAATAGATATTTTCGTCATATAAGGCCGAATCAATTATTTTCATCACAAGGCCAAAATAGTATATTGTGTTACTAGTGCGTAAAGTTCCACTTTTTCACACGCACGTGGTNCTCGTGCGTAAACCTTCGCTTTACGCACTCCAAATTCACTTTACGCACTCGTGCATAAAGATAACCACTTTACCCCCATTACTTTTATGAGCAGTGAACTCGGCAGGTATCACAAAATAGATATTTTCGTCATATAAGGCCGAATCAATTATTTTCATCACAAGGCCAAAATAGTATATTGTGTTACTAGTGCGTAAAGTTCCACTTTTTCACACGCACGTGGTACCTGGCGAATTCACTGTTCGGAACGATAGTGAGGGTAATGTGTTTTCTTTGTACACGAGTGCGTAAATTTCAAGAGCGTGCGTAAAGTGAATTTCAAGTGCGTAAAGCGAAGCTTACGACCGCTTTCGATTAGGAAAATGAAACAACATCATGTCTTCATATCATGAATTTATTTGTTGAAATATCTATTATTCCTAGTTAATTTTTCATAGGCTATATATACAGATGATAGTATGATAAATTATAGTACACGTAATTATCATAACAATTATCTCTCCCCTCTTCATTCAACAAATAGATGCTCTAATCTAAATATACTTAGAACTGAAGGTTTTTCCTACCTTCATTTTCATCATTAACCTTTTGCTTCTCTAAATCGTGGACTGGTGCCTTATAGAACTTTATTCTCGAGATTCACGTACTCATTGCGTATTTATGTTAATCCTTTCGAATTATCTCCCCCTCTTATAAATTCAACCAGTTCATCATCGTCACGAATAAAAAATCGAACCAAAAAGGCATTAGAACTCATCTAACCGTCGAAATGAAAGAAAATTTCTCTCCCTACTTTATACATTTGTTTTCTCTTCATCCTCTGTAATTTTCCTCATCGTATTACTAACTTGGAGTGTAAAAAATGAAAGATATGATACATTAATGGATTCAGACGCCAGTCCATTGTAGTCTTTTGTCAATGGCAAATACGATTATAATGTTTCTGTTCCTCATTTTTCGCGTTCCCAGCATCGCTTAATACAATATTCATATGAATAATAAAATATACCATTTTTAGTATGTACTTCTTTCACTGTAACAGGATATTTCAAACGGTTCGTCAGCCCTTTCGGTACTCTCCATCAATTTATTAATTTTCTCTCACAATTTTTAGGGATAAAAATTCACGATTGAGTGATTCAATTTTCTTTTAACTCTTAGGTACACTTGTTAGAGTATAGAAACATCTTGAGTTCTTTTTGTCACTTGTTTATCGTTAGTGGGAAATTAAGTTTCGAGGTTTTATCGTTATTCATCCAATCCCGGTGGAACATTGTATGCAGTAAAGAAAGGTCGTAACGGAAGACCATTTTTGTGAGCTGCCCGAGGTGTTATTCAATCCTTGGATATTGGTTATTTGGAATTAGAGCCTTTTGTTATTCACTCATTCGTACGAAGTAAAAAATTAATCCCTTTATTCAATCGTTATAATTTTTCAACGTAATATCCAGACAAATGTATTTACACATATGCTACCTCACGCACGAAAAAATAAGGCAGAAAAATTTGGCGAATTGGGTAGAAAATTCTATTTGATTTCCGAGAATTCCGCAGCTTTACTGCGATTTTTTAACTGAAAATGTGCAATAAAAAGTACTTCATGAAAAGAATCTATAGAATTTTATTTTGATACACAACTTTTTCTATTGATGCATTTTTCATAGGAATTCATTGTTTTTTTTATTAAAAAAATTGAACAAAAAGACTTGGAGAATTTCAGACTACGAATTTCTATGAAAAATATCTCGATAAAATGAGTTGTATAAAAAACCGAATTCTATTGATTTTTTCTACAGAACATTTTCCATTAAACATTTCCAGAGTAAAAAACCGGGAATTTTTCAATAAAATCGTCCAAAAACTAATAGACATTCAATAGAATTTCCTACCAAATTCGCCATGTTTTTCTACAAAATTTTTTCGTACATGTTATTGTGGCACGTTATTAGTTGTCCCTCTCCTATCATGCTTTCAAGGTCATCTTCAAATTTCCTCTTCCCTCCTCCTCTCCACAAATCAGAATACATCTCCAGGAACGTTCGCCTCTTCTGTTATTACGTAACAATCAGCGAAAAATTCTTCCCTCCAATGGATTCTTCCACTCCCCCACAAATACATTAAATTAATGAATGATCAATCAGAGAATGCAATGAGAATGTACAAGATACATATGAAAAAAAAACCAATGAAGTAATCCAATTCTTCAATCTATAATTAATCACTTAAATTTGAAATGAAAAATAAGAAATGCTCATTTCACTGAGGTAGCCTCACACGTGTGTACCATGTTTTTTAGCTTTTATTCTTCGTCAGTATGAAGAAAGAAATAAACAAACAAGTGAATGAAAATTTTAACGTGCCACAACAGCACACTCTCGACACTTGGACAAACGACACTTATTAAAATGCCGAGTGATAGTAGTCGTATGTGGGCCAATAAGGCTGGAGCCAATCCTAGCTGGTACGCTGTCGTTTTTTAGGGGGATGTTCCTCGGATGAATGAGCCGGTGTTGGCATACCCATACTTCTGAACATGTACTTCATCTGTGGCATGTATTTTATTATGTTTCGTACTTGAATCAGGGGCAATTCCTCGTTCATCGAGGTGCATTTGCCGGCTTCCATCAGTTTCTTCATTTGTAGTCTGGAATATAAAAAAATAATAATTATTAATTTTTTAAATTTATTTTTATTCAGCGATAATCATGACGATTAATATTAAAGAGAAATATTCGCTTCTTAGCTTTGTGTTCCTGTTTTTCAATAATTTATTGGTGTGAATGAATTTGAGATGTAAAAAATAGTTTGTGTTACACAAATAAAGGTATTAGTACCATGAAACGTATTCTAAATAGTTTTTTTTTATTATGTTTTATGGTAATAATATTCTATGGAAGCTTTTTTATCAAAAATGAATTTGATGGATATTTTTATAAATATAGACTTTAATAAACTCTATTCAGTGATACGATTTTTAAACAATCACTCAAAAAATTGTCATCAAAATGGAATTAGCAATGGCTCCAAAAATGGATAACAATACCCTCTTGATTCTATCAAAATACGATGGGGGTCGCACAATTCGTTGTTGAGTTACAGCACATTGTTTTTCCGATTTGAAAGAGAAAATCGGTTTTTTCATGATTACTGAAAGAATCATCAGTAACATCAATTCAATCAGGACTTGAAAAGTATATTTCAATGCCTCCTTAATCAAGTCGAAAAATGGTAAGAACAGAATCATTGTTTATCAAGTTACACAATACCGTCATGAGCTTTTTATATCAAAATCTCTATCTCTATTAAACGCAGGTACCAGTCTATTATGTTGAATACTTATTCATATTGATTCATGGTCCCGACTAACTTCTGACAGAACCGGGCTTGAACTCTGGCTAAATCCTGAATAAACCCTGATTAAATCCCGGCTGTACGCTGATTAAACCTTGATTGAACCTTGATTAAACCCGGACTGAAAACGAATTCGAGTCTTGAGAGGATCTGAATGTAGAATCATTTGACAGAACGAAATAATACGTAAAATTTTGATGACATTTCAATTGATGGTAGTACGATAACATGAAAAAATAGAAGAAAAGAATAATGAAATAAGAATTATTAAAAAGAGAATCCATTCGGAAGCAAATTGCTAGTTCATTAGCAACAATAACTATACTCATTTGTAAAAAATGCAATTATCCATTTGTTTTCATATTCATTGTCACAACCATGAAAAATCGATAAACTTTTTAACTTAGAAAAAAAATTAATGAGGAAGAAGAATCTCACCTATTTCCTTGGTATAAATCAACCCCAAGTACGTCAGTAAGGACTTCCCTACAGTTATTCATATCACAAGTAGGAAAAAACTGTGATACAAAGTCGGGCAATGTCATAAGCAATTCAGAATATATGTATGGTTTGAAATTGATACACGGTACCAATTTCTCACCAACCAGAGCTTTTTGAATTCCGTATGGCTGGACGTGGCAACTTGCTATCGTTTCGGCGATGGGAATTAGTGCTTTCCTCCCCCGAGAATCCCTGAAATTAATTCCATCGTCGTGAGTATATAAGTAATATTGGGCAATTGGTGGGGTTTGTGAATGGTTTATCGGAAGTAATTTTTTCAAGTAGAAAAATAAGTCATTCCAAGTTTTTTAATCGTCAAATTATTCTGCAGAAAAATATTTTTCTCAACTTCTTTTTATTATAAATAAATAATGAAAATTGTTTAAACTTTCAGAATATTTTTTATAGGATTCAAACATCAACGAATTTGTTACGATTTATGAAAAATGATTATTAAGTTAAAAAATTAATTGGTTATTCATTATTTATTTTGGGAGAGGGTGAAAAATCGTCAGAAAGTCATTTTCAAAAATTTCTATTTTGATGATTTTTCAACTAAATTAAAGTTAAATTAAATGAATTAATTATAATTAAACATGAAATTAACGAAGAAAAACAATAATAATATAATAACAATAAACAATAATAATAATAATAATATTATTATTTTTTAAATCTATTTCAGCCTTTTGATAATTTATTAACTTCGTTAAATTAAACAAATTTAATGAAATTAGACATGAAATTAATAAAGAAAAGAATTTCATGTTCAACTTGAAATTTCAATGATAAACATTGAGCTTTCAGCACCCAAAAAAATGACCAAACCACTTGAACATTCGTAAAGAATATCAAAAACTCATTCTAAACTCACCTCGTACTGTTAGAACTCCCATTCACTGGTATCAATGGTGGTGGATACTTGGGATGAGACGTGTTGTGAGCTGGTGGTGTATGCCGTTGTGTATGTGACATTATAGCTGATGATGTCTGAGGATGCAGCAGTGCTTGCACCTGCTCAGTACTCAAATTCAACATCTGAGGATAGGAGCTTGCTGTTACAGCATTTTGCACTGATAGACTGGGTGTCGTGTACGTTGCCCCCATCCTGAACAAATTGGGTCAGAGATTTTTATAAACTTCGTTATCACCTCAATACCTCACAAATCAATAAAAAGCACTGATTCAAAATGCATTTTGCGATGATTCATTTATACAGAATTCCCAATCGTCTTATTCTCGTCATGCTGTCGACACGAATTCTCATAATCAATATTTCACTGAGAAACAATAGTGTCTTGAATAATCAATGCGATTAAATTCATCATCTAGACAGCTTTGACAAGTCAGTTTAACTCAATTTCACGATCCTTTCGCCAATGTTAGTAATGAGCATGCCACTTATAATCTATTCAATCCATCAATAAAATACTATAATCAGGTACAGTATGCAGGAACTCACCAGTCATCCTTCCCATAGGTTGGATAACTACACAAACAAAATTCAAGAAAAAAAAAGAAAAAGAAAACAGACATTGTATGTATAAGGATGATAAAACTACATCTGGACAGATTTGAATTTCAATGTGAGTGTCATAGGACGATGGAAAAACAATGGTAATGACAATTTATGGATATGTAATGCAAATATGGCGCATCCGTGGAGAGAACAATCCCAGGGTGTCCCAAAACGGATCTGGCATATCGTGAGGGTAGCCGGGGTTTTTTTTGGAGACGAAAACTCTGATGAAATTTTTGTCTCCGACGCTTTGTTTATATGTTATCGAGAAAAAAGGACAGCCAATCAAACGCTATTCTCCGATGGAGAGATCATACCTTTCTCATTTGAGGCGGAGGGATGGTGGCATTGAATGTCCAATCGATTCCAATCAATCTCATTTCTTGATATTGAATGAGAGTGGAGATATGAATTTTTTACGTTGACTCTGATTGTTAGAGTCACATTGCGTTTAGGAACCAAATGACTCTGACGACGCGTTGAAATTCGTTGCGGGTTTTCTCACCCGGGTGGGATGATAGAAGAATTTTTTTTAGATCATTGTGCATTAAAGGGAGACTACTATGAGTTTTAAAAGACGTGGGTTATTGCAGTGAGACTTTTCATACGTTGAAGATCGATTATTTAGATCTGAAAACGAATAATTAGTGCAAAAAAATTTTTTTTATTGTTCGTTTCCCCGAAAACACTTAAAATGCCCAAAACTGTCCAGGGCCTCCAATTTTTGAGCTACGAAGAATTTTTTTTTTCAAAATTTTCGGAAAAATATGTGGAATAACAATAAACGAGCTAGTTTCTCTTTAATTCGCCTATTACATGGTTAAATTTCCTTTTTTGTATTTTTTTACACAAATAGTGAATTTTTTTATATGAAAAAAATCGAAATCAGCTTGTAGGAGTCGAATTCCAAAAAACTGGCTCGTAATTGTTGTTCCACACATTTTTCCGAAAATTTGGAATAAAAAAATCTTTCGTAGCTCAAAAATTGGAGGCCCTGGACTGTTTTCAGCATTTTAAATGTTTTCGGACAGACGAACAATAAAAAAATTTTTTTTGCCACTAATTATTGTGGCAGAGATGGCCATCAATCATTGGATTCTTCAATATTAAAAAAATTTGGAGCTTACATTGATTAAGGTTTACATATAATCATCGAAATTTGAAAATAGTAAAATAATTTATATTCTACATTTGTGATTGAAGATGAAGTCGGTAGCGAAGTGGTAAAACGGTACAAGTCAATTTTGAATATTGACCAGTTTTCAATGGATATCTCGGAATCTAAAGGAGATAGCAAAATTTTTGTTATAATCTTTTTTGTAGAGCTGATTGAGACCCACAGCAAATGTAATTAAAAAATGTCGGGATCTCCCTTAGATTCGAAAATATCCCTCAAAAACTCAACTGGGAGATGAGTCAACTTGAACCGTTTTGCCACTTCGCTACTGAATTAAATAATTGTTAATATGGAATTGTCAATTGTCAGTTGAGTGAATGCTACTAAATTTCATAAAAAGGATTTTCGATTAACCAAATAATCGTCAATTTTCCTAACTAAATTATTGATTGATGAAATAATTCGAAATTTGTATATTTAATTGATGATTAGTTTAATAAATAAAAATTGGATATACTTTAACGAAGCGCCGGACACAAAAATTTCATTGGGGTTTTTATCTCCAAATAATCCCCCCGAACTACTCGCACGATGTGTCAGATCAACTTTGAGACGTTCTGTATATTTTCAAACAAGTCTTGTTTGAGCCGCAAAAATGGCTAGTTAAAAATTACCAAAAAAATAGAAGAGAGTGGGGCAAAATGAAACAGTCATAAAAAACGACTGTTTGACGCAAGTGAAGCTAAAACAATTTTTTTTATTAAATATTCTTTTTCATGAACTTCTCTTTATCCCTGGGAGTAGTGATGAGAATAGTAAATTTCCATTTAGTAGAATGGAAAAAAAATGAAAAAAAAATGAAGAAAAATTAAAATGAATGATGAAAATGAAAAAAATGAAAACGAAGACTTTGTCAATGGATTAATTGAAAAGAAAATGAACCAGCAAAATCCAAAGCATGGCCCAGGGGGAGACCCAGAGGGAGAAAAAGGAAAAGGTGATGCTGAATTTCAATCGAATGAGAAAGAAAAGTGTAATCGGCCTAATCAAATCAATTGAATTATAATCAATTCAATTATAAGACGAATAGAAAGTTATTATTCTCATCAGCACTCCCAAAGATAAAAAAAGTTGATAATCAAAAGTTAATAAATAAAAATTTTCTTTTCCTTGAATTTCGCCAAATAGTTATTTTTCGACTGTTTCATTTTGCCCCTCTCCTCTAAATAAATTAATAATATCTAGGGCTGACCACGTAAAGACTGTCCTGAGATGGTCAATTTTTGTCCCAAAAATATATTTAGTAATTCCAAAAAATTTATGTCCTTCGTGCTGACCAGACATGTAATTTCTAACATTACTTGTTCGTTATTCGATACTCCCGTACGTATTATGCATCCCGAAAAATTTTCTTTTTATGCGAAACAGGGGAGTAAAGTTTCCCGTTTCGCCTATTCAATAATAACAGACGAGAAATAAATCAAATGAAATAATAATGAAGATATGATAACGATCTTGTAACTTAGGGCCAAACTATTTCTTCATAAACTTCCCTCTATAAGAGATATTTTCACCCTGGACAGGCGCCGTCTCGTGTGAATGACCCGCCTCTTGAGTAAAATATTTCGTTGTTGTTGAAAACAGAGGAATTGTCAATGTTTGAGACTTTCAAATTCGAATTAAACAATTTCTTTTTTGAACTAATTAATAAACAACAGTATTTCCATAAATCTTAAAAAAAAAAATCAATTTCTATTCTCTGCATATTTTTTACATATTTCCTAACGATTCAAAATGCAGAATGAAATCTGAACATTTAAATTGCACGCAAGAATTTCACCGAATTTGTCAACGAATTCTTCTCAATAAAGAATGAGATTAGAAAAAAAAACCAAAAAGATGATCAAACCACTTGACTGTTTGAGACTTTCAAATTCGAATTAAACAATTTCTTTTTTGAACTAATTAATAAACAACAGTATTTCCATAAATCTTCTTAAAAAAAAAATTCAATTTCTATTCTCTCCATATTTTTTACATATTTCCTAACGATTCAAAATGCAGAATGAAATCTGAACATTCAAATTGCACGCAAGAATTTCACCGAATTTGTCAACGAATTCTTCTCAATGAAGATTGAGATTAGAAAAAAAAAATGATCAAACCACTTGACTGTTTGAGACTTTCAAATTCGAATCACACAATTTCTTCTCTGGTAATTTCCAACTAGCGATTTTTATTACCCAAGCAAGACTTGTTTCATAACTAATTCGTTCCTCTCTCAGTGCAGCTAATTGAGTATAAAACCGTACCAAAATCCTACGATTGTACTTGTGAGGGTGTCATGCTCGATTATCAATTGGGCTATCAATCCTTGGAAGCAAGTACTCCATTATTTCCATTTCCAAAAATGTCATCACTTCAAAGAATTGATTATTCAAAGGATCTCATTGAATACAAATACACACGCCTAGCTGTTTGTTAATCAAACTAAACTATGAGAGGATGATAATACAGCATGAATTTTTTAAATAAATCATACAGCGCAAAGGAAACTGACAATGCGATTGAAGGAACAAAACACAAATAATGAATGTCATGTTAATTTCAAAGTGGAGATGCAATTCTTACCCAAGATTCGGCTGATTCGAGTGAGCTGTCGCCCTTACGAGAGGTGGTGGTGCCTGTGCAACATTTTGCATTGTCGATACGGGATAAACTGGATATTGTCCAGGCTGGGTGTTACTGTTGGGCCTACTTCTTGGCTGTTGGGAATAGCCCTTGGACGTCGCCATTGGCTGCACATAAACAACATCGCGATGATACAAATCGTCGATAGCTCCTGAACCAACGATACGATCTGGACGAGTCACGGCTCGTCTCAAAGCTTTACAAAATTCCTCGAAAATGAGAAAAAAAACGAGGAATTCGACTCTGCGATTCTCGAGATATTGAAGATTGAAGATGTGTTGGTTCGAAGGAATGGGATAAGAAGTGAAATTCACTTCTTTCTATTTTAATAGAATTTCTCAGAGAAAATAGGATTTTTTTCTCTCGTAGGAGCCATCAATCAGTCCTTTTTCCAGTTAATTAAATAGCAAGTGTTGTTTAGTGAAAACAGTCGATAGATGTCGATTTTTATGCGCAACTTATCCTATTATGAGTTTTTGTCTGAAAATTCTTGAGCGTCGATTTTTTAGAAATGAAGAAATGCAGCTGATAAATTTGAAAAATCGATGTTTATAAAGTTCTGTAGAAAAAAATCTAAATCTGTTCTGTTCTGAAAATGTGAATTTTTTTCTCAAATTTTCTCATACGCAAAATCTTTTCTTTATTTCACCAAATAATAATTGAGCAATTAATTAACAATTAAACATTCTATTAAAATTCTCACAGAAGTATTGGGCCTAAATAATCTGGAAATGACGAAATAGAAGTGAAAACAATTTTAAAAATTTAAACATAAAAAATTTTCTACAGAAAAATCGAAATGTATCCTCGTTTATCTGTTTCAATAGTATTTTATAGGATTTTAATAGAATGCTCTGAGAAAACATGAGCTTATTCTCTTGAAATAACAATTAAATAATTAACTAGAAATAAAAAAATTTTTGATGGAAAATATAAATCAAATCTCATTTTAAACCTTGAAAAACAAAATTTCATTTTCAAGAGAATGCAAAAAAACACTATACATAAAATTATTGAGCCTGAATAATCTAGAAATAACGAAATGAAGTCGCAAGAGCTTGAAAAATTGAACATAAATTTTTTTTTGTAGACATGAGCTTATTTGAATGAAATAACAGTTAAGAAATTAATTAAAAATAGAAAAATTTCCATGTTAAATATGAGTTAAATCTCATTTTAAGGATATCCAAGTTTTTTGGCTATTTTTTCTCTAGTGAAATGCTTTTCTACGTTTGTAGTTTACCATCAGAGCTTTCATTTGAGCCCGATTTGACCCTAAGTTTCCGGACATTTTACAATGATTTCATCATTTAAACTTTGCAAGTCTGAATTCGAATCTCGATATTAAACCGTTGGAAAATGTTTTAAAAATCTTTAAAAAAATCAGATAGTTTACTGTTAACGAAAGATTGATGAAGTAATTAAAAAATTGCAATATTTGAAAATGACGAACATGTTTTATAAATAATTTATAAACAATCAATCTTCCACCGTAAAAATAATTTCTTCCGAATCATCAAAAATTTATTCATATTCAGAATTTTTGCACAAATCGATTTCGAGCCTAAAAAAATTTGATTTCCGAAAGTTTAAACGACTTCAATTATCCATTTATAACCAACGAATGTTTAAAAAAATAATAATTCTGTGCAAAATGCAATTTAAACGACGCTGACTATTCATGATGTTTTCAAATTCCTCTCAAGCAATTGTATTGACAAATTAAAAATTTAAGGCCCGGTTGTACTATCTTTCGAACGTTATCTCGATGTTTTTTTTCATCTTTCGTCATCTGCAATTGCCAATTAAGTCCTGCATCATGCAGAACTTGTGAAAAATTATGAATGAATAATAAAAAAAAGTAGAAAAAATTCTCAATTTTTTCAACGAGCATTTTTAATTGATATTAAGAATAAGTTGAATAACAAGAAATTGAAAAATGTATCTGATTTACGGTGACAAATGGCGGCCTTTCACGGAATATCAGGCAGGGGGAAGATTGATTTCGTAAATCTTTTCCCATGCTGCACCAAGACACTTATTACGGAAAAGACTCTTTGAAAAAAGTTGTAATATTTTGGAGAATTTTCTAATCACACTTTTATCACTCAAAAATGACAGATGACTACATACCACTGTTTTCAAAAATTGAGATACCTAGCTGTCACTTCCCATGAGAAGTTAGTGTTTTTTTATCCACCATGGAAAATGACAGCTAATAGATAATTTACAACAGCGAATCAGATATTTGTAATTTCCACTTTTTTCAACTCATTCTGAATCTCAATTAAAAACGCTCTTTGAAAAGTTCAGAATTTTTTCAATTTTTTTTTTATCATTCTATCACAATTTTTGGGAATTTCTACATGATGTACCACTCAATTGACAATAACATTCGGAAGATACACGGAGAGAAAAATACATTAAAAACTAAAAAAAACTTCCTTAAAAATTAGTGTATTTCATGAATGAGAAAATAGAATGCTGTTCACCCAGTTCTTCGAAAAAGTCACGTGAGAAACTACGGAAAACGCATGAAAAAGTAGTGCACGACTCACAAAAATTAAGGTGCCACATATGAATTTTTCAGTACCGGATACCACTTTTTACACTAATTTTTGAGAGATTTTTCTCTCCGTGTAGTACACCCGGGCCTTAAAAATAAAATATCCTAGGATATCCTCAAAGCTTGAAAAAAATTCAAGTTCAACAGAATAAGGAAAAACTTACACTATGCATATTCAGGGACGTATTCTGCATTCTTATGATAGAATTTGACTGAGGAACAATAGTCGCTTGAAATGTAGGCTGACCCCCAACGAGTCCCGACCAACCATTGACAGCTGTCGGTACAGGATTGAGAATTTGAGCGTTTGATGCTGTACGATTAGCTGTATTTGGTGAACCATGGGCTGGATGTGTAGTAACAGGCCTCGTCTGATTAATATGATGTATCGTTGTATTAACAGTCGTACTCCTTGGTACAGACTGCATTGTTCTAGCATTAATAACTGTTTTATTATTAGCATTGTTAACAACAGCCACTGGTTTTGTTGCAGCTGGTGGTGCTGGCGGTTGTTTTGTCCATCCACCAGCGCTAGCACCACTTTTACCGCTAACAAATAATTGCGAATCCATAACTTTGCTCGGCCAATAATCCTCAAATCCCGTACCAGGTGGAAAATAACTCTTAATGTCACTCAAACTTATCACTGAACACGTTTCACTGGCAAATAATTCATTACGTATACCCTGTACTTTACAACAAAATTTCAAATACGACAAATCCCATCCCTCAAGTTTTTCAGCTTTCAATTTCAAATTGTCCGTTTCACCCTCGAAATAAAATAGTGGTACATACTTGAGATTGTCTTTAACCGTGTATGGTACCACTGATTCTTTATTAATACGAATGAAACCACACTTCTCACCCTTCTGTCCAGTATTAACATTTTGACTCGTTAATTTGGTGTAACATACATCCAAAAATGTGTAAAACTCTTTGGCATCAGACAATCTAACAACAAGATCTTTGCATGTAAATTGGTCCTTGCCAAACTGATTTTCACAGTGTTTATTGTTAATCTCATTGAATAATTTACTCTCAGCTTCGGTTATGAAGTAACTCTTGATACACGTACAACTGTATATGTCAGAGTGTAAGTAGTTCAGGTACTTGTTCAGTAATTTTGCCTCAAGTATCCTAACAGCGCAGTATTTTTCACCACCACGGTATATGTATGGTATGTGACATTTGTCAAATGTTATCCAACCAAATCTACCACGTAGACTATCATCGTCCAGTGGTGTTTTACCGTCAACTGATGGGGATTTTGATGCTTGTTGGGGTGCTGTGTCATTTGGCTTTTTATTCAAGTAACCGAGGATACCGGGGAGACCCTGGCTACCTGCTGGCCTTTGGGATACACCTGGGACACTCGTCAACATTTTCGCTTTGTTTGCTTCCACCATTTTGGCAGCCAATTCACGGATTTCCGCCTCATCTGGACGCTCTTGTTTTACTGGTACTTTCTCTTGTGGCCCTGCAATCGAAAAGGATTCATTAGGTATTTAAGTCAAAATTGTTATTGTTGGGGTTATCTTTGGCGATCTTTTGAATTTTATGGGGAATTTATACTCAGGGAGTCATTTAATTGCAGGACATTGGGAAGAAACTTTATCAAACGAGGAAAAAGTTTCATTTGTTGTTTTTTATTTATAGATATTTGATGATGAATTGTTCTTTCGAAATTTTTTAGCTGAAACATCTTGGGTGTGAATTTTTTAGATCAGTAGGAAAAAATTGCATGATTTTGCGTAATCTCTATGGAATAATTAAAATCAATTCAATTTTTTCGGGTTCAATGGAATTCTACTAGAATTCTAATAAAATTGGTGAGAAAAAACGAGTTTTTTCCTAAAATTTTCTTATACGGGCCATCAATTATTCTTTTTCAGTTTCATTATTGTAATTATTAAAGTTGTTATCATCGTGTTAAGGGATTTTATGGGAAATTTTGCTCAGGGAGCCATTTAATTGCAGGACATTGGGAAGAAACTTTATCAAACCGGGAAAAAGTTGCATTTGTTGTTTTTTATTTATAGATATTTGATGATGAATTATTCTTTCGAAATTTTTTAGCTGAAACATCTTGGGTGTGAATTTTTTAGATGAGAAATAGCAGTAGGAAAAAATTGCATGATTTTGCGTAATCTCTATGGAATAATTGAAATCGATTCAATTTTTTCGGGTTCAATGGAATTCTACTAGAATTCTAATAAAATTGGTGAGAAAAAACGAGTTTTTTCCTAAAATTTTCTTATACGGGCCATCAATTATTCTTTTTCACTTTCATTACTGTAATTATTAAAGTTGTTATCATCATGGTGAGGGATTTTATGGGGAATTTTGTTCAGGGAGCCATTTAATTGCAGGACATTGGGAAGAAACTTTATCAAACGAGGAAAAAGTTCCATTTGTTGTTTTTTATTTATAGATATTTGATGGTGAATTATTCTTTCGAAATTTTTTAGCTGAAACATCTTGGGTGTGAATTTTTTAGATGAGAAATAGCAGCAGGAAAAAATTGGATGATTTTGTGTAATTTCTATGGAATAATTGAAAACTATTCGCTTTCTTCGGTTTCAATAGAATTTTACTAGAATTCGAATAAAATTTGTGAAACAAAACGAGTTTGTTCCTCAAATTTTCTCATATATGCCATCCACCAATCTTCTTCGATTTCAGTATTGTTATTATCGTGTTGTGTGATCTGCGTTGTTCAAAAATTTCTATTGAACAATTGAAATCGATTGACTTTTTACGGGTTCAATAGAATAGAATTTTCAATTCAATAGATTTTCTGAGAGAAAACACGGGAAAGATCTTTTCTTTTTTTCAAATTCATTAGATAACAATTAAGTCAAAACTGAGTTGAATCAATTGCGAACTGAAGTTATTCTTGATAGGAAAAAGGCGTTAAAATGAGATTTTTCCGCGCAATTTATTCTACTGCAATTTTTTCTCTGAATATTCTTGGGCATAATTTTTTTATAAATAATATTATAACAATTGCCGGGTTAATGAAAATTCAATTTGTATAAACTTCTCTAGAAAAAACGAAATCCATCCATTTTTTTCAGTTCAATAAAATTCCAATACAATTGCTTACAACAAGACTATGTACCATGAATCAATCTTTTCCCATTTTATGGAATATAAGTCGAGCGGTTAATTAAAAATTGAAAGTATTTGATGGATAAAATTCAATAGCCGTTGATTTTTATGCACAACTCATTCTGCTAAAATTTTTCTCTAAAAACTCTTGATACGGAATGTCCTAGCAATGTAGAAATATAGTGGAAAAACTTGGAAAATTTATACACAAAGAATTCAACACAAAAATCGAAATCTATGCTCTTCAATCAATTTTAATAGAATTTTAATGGAATTGCGGTGAGGGACATGAGCTTCCTATTCCATTAAATAACAATTAAGTAGTCAATAAAAATTCTTCGGTAATATCGTATGAAAAAATTAATAGAAAAACCTATTCTATAAGAATTCTATTGAAAGACTCTATTTGTTTTGTGCGCCAATTCTATTAAGGACTATGCAACGTCCCTCCGCGTTTTCAAATAGATATTGTTTATAGAAAAATGTCTATAGATGTCTATAGGATTTTTTCCATAAGAATTTTCCGCATTACTTTCGCAAGTTTTTTTTTCTGGGATGTTATCATGAGATACAAATAAAAACACCGGTAAAAACCTTGGAATATTTACGCGCAAGAATTTTATGGGAAAATCACAATCTATGAATTTCTTTCTATGGAATATCTCTTAACAAAACAGCGCGGTAAAGTTACATAATCTCCAATTCAAATAGTGGAAAAAACAGGCAGAATTTTTATAGAATTTGTTATTATTTGTTATTTATTCATTAAAAACTCAACAGTCGAAGCCAATTATGCGATCAAAGCATGATACAATACTTATTTGCGAACAAGTTTATACACATATGCAGAACTATTTATTTTCAATTTCGATAAATTGAATTGAACTGGTTAATGAGTAATGACTCCAAAATAACAGAGAGAATTCCCCATTCTTAAAATCATTTTCAAGACATTTTTCCAATCTTCAAAACAATATCTGAACTATAAAAATCGTATCGCTCCCAAGACATTAACAATAAGAACTACCCATTTTCAATGGTTTAATAAACAATAACTCCGAAATAACAGAGAAAATTCCCCAATGGTCTAACTCGATTTTGATTATCGGCCAGTTTTCAGTGAATATCTCAAAATCTAAGGGAGAAAGCAAAATTTTTGTGAATACCTTTTTTGTAACCCTCAATTCATCCTACTAAAAAGTTTATTACGGAAATTTCGTTATCCCCCTTAGATTAGGAGATATTCCTCGAAAACTCAGCTAAGGGCTAGATCGACTTGAACCGTTTTACCGCTTCGTTACTGATATTTTTCCAATCTTCAAAATAAGATATTTCCCGTAAAAATCCCATCCCGCTCTCCCAAGATAAACGATAAAAACTATCCATTGACCATTTTGACAAATCAAATGCAGGTATTTAAGAATATTCAAGTATTTTTTATAACTTAGTACAGACCAAACGATGGATTGAACCATTGTCTATAATCAAATTCATCAATTACATTGCATGAAAATTTTGTTTAAATGTCATGAATATCCAGAGTCATTTAAATAATATTTTGTATAGAATTATTACTTTTTTAAATATTCGTTGTGTATAAACAAATAATTGGAATCGTGTAAACTTTCTGAAACCTCATTTTTTAGACATGAAATTGATTTCTGGTAAAATTTTCAATACGACTAAATTTGATTTTACGGTGAAAAATTGATTATTTATAAATAATTAACAGAAAATGCTCTTAATTTTCAAAAATTGCAATTTTTAAATTATTTCGTCAATGTTCCTCCAATCGTAACCTTTCTAATATGGAGCTCAAACTAGCGAAAGATTCGACAGCAGGAGATTTGTCTTAGGGGACTCTAGGGGTGTACAAATATTTTTTAATGATGAACAACCTTTTTCGCACTTAAAAAACATTGTACATATGATTATTTGACTCTTCTACACTTAAATGTCCCCTAAATAAAATTTGGGGACATTTATTATATTCTGACGAATATTCTGCCATTTTCAGCTTCATCTTTTTAATTTTTTTTTCAATCTTTAAACTGTATTCAAACTGAAAGTTTACAATGAGAGAAAAGCGACAAAGTTCTCAAACAAGTCTTACTTGTGCCAAGAAAATATTTTTTTGAAAATTATCAAAAAAGGATTTTTTTGTACCGAACATGCAGAGAGTGCGCCGGAATGAAAAATTTTTGTCTCAGAAATAGATTTAGTAGTTCAAAAAAAATTGCATTCTCTGTACACGTAAGAAATGTCATTTCTAGCACTACTCCTTCGTTATTCGATACTCCCATACGCATTTTGCTCCGAAAAATCTTTGTTTTATGCGTAACAAGGGATAGTAGTTTTTCGTTTCGGCAGTCTAATAACCACAGACAAGAAAAGAACCCTTAAATGAAACAATCTTGTAACTTAGGGATAAAATATTCGTTGATAAATGTTCCTCTATATGAGATATTTTCATCCTGAAAAGGCACCGCCTGGTGTGAATTATCCGCCTCTTGAGCCAAACATTTCGTTGCTGTCGAAAGCAGAACAATTATTCACGTTTGAGACTTTCAAATTCGAACCAAACAAATTCTTTTTTGGCAATTTTCAACTAGCGATTTTGTTGACCCAGACAAGACTTGTTTGACAAAGTGTTCGTTTTTCCCTGAGTGTAGGATCAAATGGGACTCAACTGAAACATCTGACGTTCAACTACAAAACTAGAGAGCATTTCACTTGATAAAAACCACCAAAGCACTTGGAAATCCAATAAACAATAACTCCAAAAAACAGAATTCCCCATCCTTCAGTAATCTCCCTAAATTCTCCCACTCTCCAAAACAAATCTGCCCCCTAAAAGCCGATCGCCTCTCCCCAGCCACAACAATTTCCAAAAAAATCAACATACATGTATCATAAACGGGCGTATCACCGTTCCTAGACGCTGTCAGACTGGCAAGAACCAAATCACAATCATTAGCGGACAACGCCATGTTCGTAAATTAACCAACAACACTTCTCCCTGAACCGCCACGAGGGTTCATCAACCAGGTATATCCAACTCTAGGGCATCTAGGCCCTGTGCCAGGGGTGGTAACATCGAGCTGCTGTTCCTGGCTGTTTGTGCACCTGAGCGCACGTTACACTAGTCCCCCACACTAGTTCAACGGTGATCCCCAGTCCCGCAGTCGTATTTTAACCAAACCACCAGGCCCCAGTGAAAAAAGCCCCCACAAATTTCCAAAAACTTCACCGCCAGCCCTGCAAGACCCCCAGGCCCTCGCAATGCAGCCACATAACCATTAAAAACCGCTTAAATCACTCCTCTGAATAATTAAAATAGCATTCACAAGTCAATGACAACTGAAACTGGCATTCCGTGACGTCAGGCAAATTGTCCGGGAGGCCAAGGACCCAGATGATTTTTTCTCATTCACCATTCGAATTATCCGTGACTTCATCGTAAACGCACATAAACACACTCGCAAATTGTTTAAAAACTCCTGTCCTCGGAGGACATTTGTCCAATGATTAGTTCTCACTGTTGCCCCGAGGGAGACTCCACTCTCGCGATAAAATTCGACATTTCGCGGGGGGGAAAATGACACTCAGCGCAAAAACACACGGCAGCATCCAATGGAGAAAACAAAAATACTCGAGTAAAACATAACCAAGAGGTAATCAATAATCTATCGACAAAGTCTCGGTGGTATATCGGGGAACAGATGGCGTCTAATTCTCTCGCCACTGCACCTAGTCATGTTTTCACGGCGAACATTCAATAGTTGACAACACGATGCTCCAGTGATATTCACTTATTATCGGTATTCATTGGAGTCAGGAGTGAAGTAACTTGCACTCGATTTTCCTCGTACACACGTCAACTCCGCGACACAGGTAAATGTTCAGTGAAGATTTGTTATTAACAAACTTTTAGACTGCACTGTACCCACGCGTACCACGGTTTTACAACAGTTGATGGTGGAAAAAGACACTTCAGCGGTTAAATTTCACGAACGTGGCTTTTAGGGGGACATTTCTAGACGCGACTAACGGTTTTTCGGGGGGGTTGCGCGGGGGGGACTTTTGGGCTGGGGTTTTTTTTTCGGCGGACGTCGAGTTAATGGAGGCGCCGAGCGATTTAACCCGACAGCTCGTCAGCTTCGGGCTGACTTTAAGGGGGGCCTGTACTTCTGTCGCGCTCTGTATTTCTCTTTCGACTAAGGGTTTACCGCCCAGCGCAAGTGCCTCGTGTGGCGCGCATGTAGCAGCGTAATTTTTTCAAGTTACTGAGGTTTTTTTTGGTTCTCAAATGTGGACGTTATTTTTTTTTTAAGGACGTTGGGAGTTCGAGGGATAAATCTGGTGAATTTATTGAAGCAATTGAAAAAATTTAAGGTCTTTTGAATGGTTGGTGGTGAGTGGTGGCATTTTTCTATGAAAATGGAAAATAGTGAATTGAAAAAATTAATGGAGGTCGATTTTTATTTGGACTTTATTGTTCGGGTGAGGTATTTTCTGCAGAAATTCCTCGGCTCAAATTTTTTTGTTCAGTTTTTTTAGTGAAAGATGAGGAAAGTTGAGGGAAAAAAAGTAGAAAATTCTTGTTAAGGAATTTTTATAATAAAGACTGGATAAAAATATTTGTGGAGTTGTGTCGTGTATGAACTTCTAGTGATTTTTTCTATAAAAGAGCTTCTATTGGACATTTTTCATTAAAAAATGCACAGTAAGGCTGCGGAATTTTTCAATAGACATGTTCAATGGGAAATATTCCAATGAAAAAATTCATAGAATTCAATTTTTCTATAGGGGAGGTTGGGGTAAAATGGACACTTGACTTTTTTTAAAATGTTAATGCCGGGCTGAAATGTTGATAAAACTTGATAATTTTCATTTCATTGCAGAGAACAATTCTTTCCCTTTGTGATGAGCCTAAACTGAGCTCAATTGATAAATTTGTTTCTGAGTTATGAGTAATTAAAACAAAAGTCTAAAGTGTCCATTTTACCCCACTCTCTCCTACGACTCATTCTATTCACATATTTTCTGCAGAAATTCCTCGAGAGGAGAAGAAAAATATAGAGAGAAAACTTGAGAAATTCATATCAAGGAATTTCCATAACAAATGGCTCAACAGAAAAAATTGTGTAGAATGCGCTTTTCTTTATTTATTTCCCTATATTCTTCATTTGTGTTGTTCATAGAACAAATAATTTTTTGGCAGAACTAATTTTTTCACTCATCGTACGCATGCTCAATATCTACCGGAGAAGTTGATAACGAGCTTTCCCCTCATTGCACATTTTACTACTCGAATTTCACATTTTTCAGATTCGATCCGCTGAATAATTCCATTCCACACACCTGTCGATCATATTTTGAACATCCCTCACATGAAATAACGATAAATTTTCATGCTTCTGTATTGTTCTGCTCCTATTCTCTACATTATTGCGCATTAAATGTAAAACATTTCCACATTCTACAACTTAGTGAAAGAACTTTACGATCAATAAATATTTCATATCATAAAATCGATATTGTTGAAAATGGAAAATATGTCTCAGTTAAGTAATCGAAAAACTCGCAAATTTTTCGAGATTCTATAAATTCTAAGAGAGAACATGAGATGTTTTTCTCAAACTTTCTGGTGTCATCACTCGATCTTTTTCTATTTCATCAAATAAAAATTGAGCAATCAATTAAAAATGTTAGGGTTGTTTGAGGGAAGTGAAACACTAGATTAATTATCAAAAGAACGTGTATTAAATCTAGCAACACACTTCTCTCTATACAGTCAGAGTGCTTGTGAACGCACGTGAGAACACGGCTCCAGGCCAACAGCTTGCGCAGGCGCAAGTATAGTGTTAAGAGTAAATAGTACAGGCTGTTTGGTATAGGCAACAGTGGGAGTAAGACTGGGAGCAGGTGCCATCTACTCCAACAATTTTCGATAAAAGTTCAATACAAATTGCACAGCTTCCCTGCGCTTTCATTTTTCAAAAAAAATATTCATTGAAAAATATTGCATTGAAAAAATTTAGACTCCAATTTTTCTGAACGACTCATTTTATTTACACTTTCTACAAAAAATCCTCGGCTGAAATTTTACAAATTTTTTTGTTCAATTTCTTTAATGAAAAGAGAAAATCAGTAGTGTCAATGGAAAAAGTTGTACGGAAAGATGGAATTCTACAGATTTTTAGAAACTATTGCATTAGCATTCAGAAAACAGTAAATTCCTCGTCGTATTTATTCATTTTTGTTCTGAAACAGGGTTTTTTCTTCGTTCCTTAAATTTTTCCGTACGCAACATATTCTGTTTCTTTTCCCATACTCCTTAAGCGCCACAAAATAAAAATTCGCAATCTTGCTGAAGCTGTACTATTTTTTTTATTTTTTTATTTTTTTTAAGTCCAAGCTCATTGTGACACTGTTACTCGATGTACTTGATTGTTATATATGTTAATAAAGACTTTTAAAATGTCAAATGTTGAATTTTTGTTCTGTTAAACAATTCCAACTATTTAAAAATGCTATCACCTCTGTGCTTTCCTTTGTTCTTCTTCAATGTGAAAATTGAAAAAACGGAAATAAAAAATTGCAGGCGGCTGTATCTTCGATGCAGCTGTAATTTTGCATGGGTACGTCCATGGTCTTCCCTTCTTTCTTGAATTTCCTAGAAACTCCTTGCATTCCTTCGAATTTTCAAGAAACTCCCTGAATTTTATCGAAATTCCATGAAACTTCGCGAATTACCTTGAACTATCTAGAACTTTCTAGACTTCCGATAGATGGCGCTCCGCATAAGGACCGTTTCCCAAAATTGACCCCCCATATTGAAACCATGGACGCATCCACGTCAAAATGTTCCGTTATTCTCATGTTCAAAACGATTTTAAGGTGTTTTGAAGATTTTTTTTGTAAACCTGCAACTTCATTTCCGATCTGTCAACGAATGCTTACATACAGTCTAGTATTATTGATAATAATTAACCCCCAAGTGGCAAAATAACACAGTCCTATGAGAAAATGAACTTTTCGAGATTAGAGAGGGGATTAAAATGAAGAAAAAAATCTTAAAAAATTGGAAAAATAGTATATTTCGTAACGAGTGCAAAAAAGTGTTTTTTGGCGAGCCGAAGGCGAGTGATATAATCCCACGAGCTAAAAAACATTTTTTCACGAGTTACGAACAATATTTTTCATCACAATGTGGCGGAAATTGGACTTTTAGGCACGCGGAGCGTGCCGAAAAGTTCACTTTTCGTCACAGCGTGATGAAAATGGAAATTTTATGCCTAATACAAAAATTGTTGTCAGTGTAAATGAGCAACTATTGTTTAAGAAAATAATTGTAGAGAGAATTTGATGGATTACTCTTAACTTTTTACTCTCGTCGAAATCAGAATTCATGTAAGAAATCATCAATGATGAACAATTTTTAATTTATTTTCCTCGCAACACTCAATGACTTACGTGGAGTTTGAATATACTACGTTAATGTCTACAACTATATCGATTCAACAGAACGAAATATCTCTTTCGCGGGAGATATAATTTTTCGGCAGAACAAATTTTTTCACTCAGTTTACGCGTGCACAATGTCTACCGGAGAAATTGATCATCAGCGTTCCCCTCATTGCACATTTTACTACTCGAATTTCACATTTTTCAGAGTCGATCCGCTGAATAATTTCATTTCACACACCTATCGGCCATATTTTGAATTCAACACAGGACAATGCGATATCTTCGGCATCTCATCATCATAATTAACAATTCCCCACAAAGTCGCGTTAGTAATAACAACGTCAAATAGCGATGCCCCTCCCTAACATGAAATAACGATAAATTTTCATGCTTCTGCTCTCCTACTTTGTATTGTTCTGCTCCTATTCTCATTATTACCTTATTGCGCATTAAATGTAAAACATTTCCAATTTCTAGAACTTAGTGGAAGAACCTTACGATAAATAAATATTTCATATCATAAAATCAATATTTTCGAGAATAGAAACTAGTTCTCAGTTAAATACTCAAAAAACTGGAATTTTTAGAGAATTTAGAATTTCTAAGAAACAACATGAATTGTTTTTCTCAAATTTTCTGCAATTTGAAAATTAGAGATTGTTGATGAAAAAAATCGACAGGTGCTGATGTTTATGCGAACTTTATTGTACTGACATTTCCATGTGAAAATTCTTCGGCGCGAATTTTTCAGAAATGAAGAAATACAGCAGAAGAATTTGAATAATTCAGGTTTTTCAAGAAATACAGCGCAAGAAGTTCAAAATTTCTGTGGAAAAATCGAAATTCATGCACATTAAATCAGCATTCTAAAAGAGGTAATCAAAGAATTCCATATTTAATAAATATTAAAGAGTCACTGAATCTTTTTTTATTTCATCCAAATAACAATTGAGGAACAAAGTCGATAGATGTTTCAGAGATGAAAAAATACAAGACATACGGAAGAATTACAAAATTTCAGGTGTTGAAAATTCCACGTTCAACAAATGTACTCCCTCCATCCTTTCCCATCAAATAACAAACGAGTAATCAATTGAAAATTAAAGTTTGATGGAAAAAAGTCGATAGATTTGACGTTTACGCGTAAATATCTCCAAATCCAAGAGAGATAACGAAATTTTCGTTGAAACCATTTCTGTAGTCCTCAATTCGCTCTACAAAAAAGTTCATATCAAAAATTTTGCTATCTCCCTTAGATTTCGAGATATTCATTGAAAACCAACCGATAGTAAAAATCAACTTGACCCGTTTTAGCGCTTCGCTGCAGAAATGTCTACAAAAAATCGAGAGCTATTTACTTTTTCCTCTTCAAAACGTGATTTTTTCCTTCTTAAATTTCCTCACCCCTCCTCTCAATTCCATAAAATCCCAATTAATCCCAATTAATAAATCAAAACCGAAAAAAACTCGAAAATTTTTCGATGAACTAAAATAATGTACAGAAACATCGTTGAAAAGGGACTCAACGCAGTAGTACATGCAGCTCAAAGAGTGGCCCAGGGACCAGGAACAAGAATCCCATGTTATGTGACAACGTCGCACGGTCGATATGCTTTTTGAGGCGAAGTGCCAAGATTGGCAAACGTACGGTAGATACATGGCCAGTACATAGCCAGCAGTTTCAGGTGAGTACGCTCTCCCTTCTTCCTCGTGTAAATGCCTGGAACCCA